CTCCTGTTGGTTAGCCATTAGCGGTGCTGCTAACGTTACTAGCTCTCTTCCTGTTGGTTAGCCATTAGCGGTGCTGCTAACGTTACTAGCTCTCTTCCTGTTGGTTAGCCATTAGCGGTGCTGCTAACGTTACTAGCTCTCCTCTGATTGGTTGTTTACAATGAAACATGATCAGAGATCAGAGACTAGAAACACATGATCTACTGAGTCAGTACAACTTTATTTACACTGTGATGGTTAACGGTAAAACTTTATTTACACTGTGATGGTTGACCATAAACTTTATTTACACTGATGGTTAACGTTTAAACTTTATTTACACTGTGATGGTTAACGGTAAAACTTTATTTACACTGATGGTTGACATTTAAACTTTATTTACACTGTGATGGTTGACGTTTAAACTTTATTTACACTGTGATGGTTGACGTTTAAACTTTATTTACACTGTGATGTTAACAGTAACACTGGAGGAACATGCTGGTAAATGTGTGGCGAGTTCAGGAAACAAAGATATGTCATGTCATGATGTGTCCTTGAGCAAGGCTCTAACTCCTCTGTGTGTTCACTGCATGGTCAGATGCAGACGAGGGTCCACAATGCACTGCACCTTCCTTTTGGCTATGTGGTTACGTAACTCCGTCTCCATTACATCTGCCTCAGCAGGAACCAGCTGTTACCCCCACAACAAGATGGGCACTATTACAAAGAGCCACGAGCTACCAACACCAGTCTCCTGATGGTGACCCCATAAGAATAAATAAAAACTCCCAGAAGCCACTGCTGCGATGACGAAGCAGCACCGTGATGGTGGGAGACGCTTCCTGTGTCCTCTGACCTCGTAACATGTATTTCATTTATTATATTTACTACATCGACAGCTGCTACAGTGATACTCTGTGTGAACAAAGTACACATACTCAAGTACAATTTAGAGGTTTTTGTACTTCACTCGTCAATGTTATGTTACTTTATACTTCTACACTACTACATATCAGAGGAAAATATTGTACATTTTATTCCATTGGACAGCTTAAAAGTACTATACATATATTTGTGTATATATACATGTACCACAGAGCTGAGTACAGCAGTAACGAGGTGGAGGTACATGCAGCTTTTAAAGATGGAGGTCAAGTTTTTTAGTTTGGTTTGTTTGTGTTCATCAGCCGGATTAAACAACTACTGAAAGTCTGGTTCCCAGTGGATTCTCTTCGTCTTTAACTCTTGTCTTTCACATTGAAGCGTGTGAAGTGAGAGGAGCAGCGAGTCCTGAGCTGCTGATCTCCACCAGACACTGTAACCACATCGTGTTGGTCTACACATTTAACATATTAACAGGAAGTCACTTCTACAGCCGAGTCTGTGGGAAGATTAACTGTGACGATGACACACAACACCGAGACTCGGACCTGGACCGGCGGATCAGACCCTGGTCCCGGTCTGGTGCATCAGACCCTGTTCACACCTGCTCTAACGTGGGCGATCCCGTCGCTATAAGAATGACGAATGAGAACAAACACCTCCATCATTTCCGTTTTTGTAAAACACCAAATGAGTCGAGAGGTGCCAAAGCACTTCCTGTGTCTCAGTCTGCAGGAAATAAAAAAGAAAGAAGAAGAAATCCAAAACCACTAAAGACTGAGTCTGTTCCAGACAAAACCAATCGCACAAGATGTTTGATGGACTCGTACTATAGATGATCCATTTGAACAGATACAGATCCCTGTTTGATTATAGCAGCTGGTCTACAAGGGTCCAGAATATTATGTTTTCAAACGTCCCAAAAATCATTTCAACGCTCTGAAGTCAGTAAACATCTCCTTCAAACTACTGGATTTATTCTAGTTTATCACCAAAACTACATTTTACAGATGACATGTGAACACATCACGATAACGTTATAATGTACCTTCAGCCAGTACTCATGTTCACTGAGCAGAGCCTGAAGGCATCATAATGTACCTGAAGTGAACCTCCGTTGGTTAGCCGTTAGCAGTGCTGCTAACGTTACTAGTTCTCCTCTGACTGGTTGTTTACAATGAAACATGATCAGAGACTAGAAACACATGTTCTACCGAGTATTGATAATGATTAAACTTTATTTACACTCTGATGGTGAACAGAAAACGGTGTCAGTAATATTTAACTTGTGTGTTTGTCTCTTGATGACGGGACAATAAGCAGCTTTGTAACGTGACCAGAAGCGCTTCCATCGGCTTATTTAATCCTCTACTCAAACATTTACTCTCTTTACCGAGAAACTAGTTGGACTCTGAAACCTGTTTTTCCGGCTGCCGCTTGGCGCCTGAATGCAACAACTGTGATGTTTTAGTTTGTTGAAGGAGACCAAGAGACTAAAGAGCCCTGGAGCAGTTTTCCTTCCTTTATGAAGCTGATGTACGTCCAATGTGTCAACGCTATCTATCTATCTATCTAGATATAGAGATATAGAGATAGATAGATAGATATAGATATAATATTCCATATTTAAAGGGGCTCCAGAGCCACCACCAACATGCTGACTCTCAGGATTCATGACATAATGCACAAAACACAAGT